TAGCATGCTCTTCAACATAGGTGAATTTGAGAGCAATCGGAGATGTTTTGAAATCTAGTAATATTTAATTAATTTGATTAATTAATTTGTTTAATGTGTACTATTCACTCCATTGGAATTCCGACTTGATTTTATTGATGTGCATGCCATATACTTTCACATATATTAAATCGAGAATATTTGATTAGGTTTTGAAACCTTTCATTTAATTATTTTCTAGTATTAAAGTTTAATACTCATGGCCGTACCTTGTATGGAAAATTCTTGTAACATGTTTTTAAATCAAGTCTTGACATGTTGTATAACATACATTAAATTGAGATCATTTGGATGAATTTCAAAATCTAGAGATTTTAATTAAAATAATTAATTAAAACCTATTCAATGATTCCATGAGCTTGATTAAGGGTCAGTTTGGTAGGGTGGAAATGGGAGGAAAGGGAAGGAAAGGTGATGGAGGGGGATTAAAAATTGGTATTCGGCAAAAATTGTTGGAAGGAAAGGGAAAGGAAGGGAAGGGTTTGAAGGGCTAAGACAAGGCCTGAACATTGTTTTGCTTATCCTCCCAAAAATGGGAGGGAAAGGAAGGAAAGTGAAGGGAAGGGTTGATTTATTATCTGTGTAACGACCCAGTCATTTGCCTTCCTTTCCTTTTTCCTGAAATTTTACGAATAAAATTTTTTCGTTTAATTTTCTTTTCTGAGCTCTGTTTCGTGTCGCTTAGTGTCATCTCGAGTGCTCAGAATTGGTCCTGAGACTCTTTTCCGTGGATTGACAACTTCCTTTGAGGACCGAGTCATTTTCACATTTTTCGTTTTTTGACACTATTCATTTTTCGTCATTTTCCCTATTTCGTCCTTTTCCGTATTTTCTCTTTTCCCCGTTTGACACTTTATTAGCGTAACCACACTTCTTGTGTTTGGAGTTGGTTTTTGACTTCATATATCTCCATCTTGAGTGGTTTCCACGAAATACGTATATTTACTTTTGCAAGAAATTACTCTGGTTGCTCCCGGTGTCCATTGGGGCATGGATGCAAAGTTCTTTGAAATTATTTTCTTTTCTTGGGGTGTTTTCAAAAATATCTTTTAAAGATATTTTATTTCAGGGGTTTTTAAGAAAATATTTTTGGAAGATATTTTTATTCTGGGCCAAAAGTACAGTCTTTACTTTTTGGATGGGCCATTGTACAATTAATGAAAGTTATTGCAAAATGTCTTGTTTTGAGCCTGGATCCTCGTATGGGATTCATTTTCACATTTCATCGAGTTGTGTACTCTTGGAATTTCCTCCTGGCCGATGTTTTCCAGTTTCAGGGTTTCTGGCCCCAATTTGCGCCAAACTTGTTTTAGGCATAACTTTCTGCTCGGGACTCGATTTTCGACGCCGTTTCTTCCGTTGTTCATATTTTATCATTTTGAATCTTTTTTTTCAGAAAGTTTTGCCATTTTAGTACATCTACTCAAATTTTACTTTTTCGGACCAGACGGGGCCCGTTCGGGGCACTTTTTGAGATTTCTATAAAAGGGGGGTGAGACATTTCATTTTTCATCTTCTCCCCTCTTTATGCACGACCTGGAACTCCCATGGCAGCCCAAGGGGTGCTGCCATCTTCTCTCTCCTCTTTTGGTTCACTTTTCCTTGATGAAAAGTCTTTGGCCTTAACGTTTGTTGTTCCCCTCGCCGTGCTCTACCTTTCCCCCTTATTAGAATTCAGTTTTGACCATTTCTTGAGTTTGGTTTTGAGGTCAAGTTAGGATTTTGATGGGGCTTTCATGGGGGTTATGTTCACGGCGTTGTCCCCGATAAAACTCAGTAATTTCGTCGAATTTAGAGCCGTTCCATTTTGATAGCTTTCATCTCAAATGGAGGTAAGGGAGTTCTAGGTTTAAATTCTTGTCATATAGCATGCTTATGATGCTTATACTACTTGTTTGCATGATTAAATATAAAATCTAGAGATTTTATTATTTATTTTTCTTGTACGGGATCTAATTTTCCCGGTTGCTCATGACTTGGTTTAAACATGTAGCATGATTTTATATTGCCCCTTGATATGCTCATTGTCGAGTATTAAAATTGGAACATTTGAATAAGTATTAAAGATTTTATTTAATATTTATCTTAGGTAAAAGATTAATTCACATGGCCTTAACTAGCTTGAAATCAATATGTGTTAGCATATTAAATTAGGCCTTAGCATGCTCTTCAACATAGTTGAATTTGAAAGTAATTGGAGGTGTTTTGTAAATTAGTAATTATTAATTAATTTAATTAATTAATTTGCCCCGAGTGCACTATTCACTTTATTTGAATTCCGACTTGATATTCTTGATTTATATGCCATATAGCTTCACATATATTTGATTTAGAACATTCGGTTAGGTTTTGAAACCTTTTATTTAATTAAATTCCATGTTTAAGATTTAATCCTCATGGTGATATACAACTTGGAATTGTATTGTGGCATGCTAGAAAATTAAATTTTGGTATGGTTGTTCACATGTATTAAATTGGGATTTATTGCATGAGAATTGCAACTTTTGTTTTATATTTAACTTTAGTGAAAGTTTAATTCGCATGGTCGTAAATTGAATGAAATAAACTTGTAAAGTGGTATTTCATTAGTCCTTGGCATGTTCTCTAAGATATGTTAAATTGAAAGCATTTGATTAAGTTTGAAAATCTAGGGATTTTAATTAAAAGAATTAATTAAAATCTATTTAATGGTCCCCTTAGCTTAATTAAGTTTTTAACTTGATAATTGTATTGATCATGACTTGTTACTAGCATATATTAATTTGGGACTATTAGAAGTTGTTTTAGAACATTGGGATTTAAATTAGCATGATTTAATTAAAGTTCTACTTTGTTGTTCCAACAACCTAATTGAGTTTTAGAATGGATATAGGTGATGACCATGCTATGTCCTTTAACATGTATTAAATTGAGGTTAATTGGAATTGAATCGGAATAAAGAGAATTTAATTGTGTTTATCTATTTAAATTCTATCAATTTGCTCCATGATCTAGTTGTGTTTTAGAAGTGGTTTTTATATTCAAATCATGGACTTAGACTTGTTGTATATTCATTTGGTTATGTTTTGAACATTAGATAACATAGTTGCTATGTTTGTATTCGTGATAATATGTTTTCCTTATTAAATATATTGTTGCCTTATGTAATGATTCGCACACTTCGTGCTTAACATCTTTCATGCATAGCGTGTAACGAATCGCACACTGAAGATTCGACATTCATCATATCATATTAGTTGTGGATTTAGAGCATGTATTGTATAGGTTTCCAAATTTGGTTGTGCTTAGTAGATAGTTGATTATCTTGCATATTCCTGTTGATATATGCGTTGTTGCACAACTTGTTGAAACTGTCGAAACTGTCCCTAAAAGTACCAAATCCGTCCCTAAAAGTCAAATTGGTCCATCACTAAAAGTTGCGTGCCAAAAGAGCTTTAGGGACGGTCAAAACTGACCGTCCCTAATACTTTTGACCTTTAAGGACAGTCCAAACTGTCCCTAATAGAACCGTCCCTAAAACTTTTTTAGGGACGGTCCAGACTGTCACCAATAAGGTATGAATTAGGGACAGTCATTTATTTTATTAGGGACGGATTGACCGTCCCTAATACATAATTTTTCAATTATAATTATTATATTAGGGACGGTTAGGACCGTCCCTAATACATTATTTTAATTATATATTTTAATATATTATTGTATTAGGGACGGTCAGACCGTCCCTAATACGTTATTTTTAATTATATATTTTAATATATAGTATTAGGCACGATTGGGACCATCCCTAATACATTATTTTAATTATATATTTTAATATAATATTGTATTAGGGACGGTCTGACCGTCCCTAATACATTTTTTTTAATTATATATTTTAATATATAGTATTAGGGATGGTCAGGACCGTCCCTAATAAATTATTTTTAATTATGTATTTTAATATATAGTATTAGGGACGGTCAGGACCGTCCCTAATACATTATTTTAATTATAAATATTGTTATATTATTATATTAGGGACGGTCTTATCGTCCTTAATACATTATTTTTAATTATATATTTTAATATATAGTATTAGGGACGGTCAGGACCATCCCTAATAAATTATTTTTAATTATATATTTTAATATATAGTATTAGGGACGGTCAGGACCATCCCTAATACATTATTTTAATTATAAATATTATATTAGACCGTCCCTAATATATTATTTGTAAATTATAATTATTGTATTAGGGACGGATAGACTGTCCCTAATACATTAATATATATATATATATATATATATATATATATATATATATATATATATATACATACATATATTATATGCTTAATTTGTGAATTTAACCATTCCGGATACATACAAAACATATACAAAATAGATACACAATAACATTCAAAACAATATTACTATCCATAAAATAAAATCAATCCACAATATATATATTCAAGATCCATAAAATATAAATTCTCCATTTTTGTAAACAAAAACTAAAACCGCCATGTGGTAGCACAAAAAAATTTTCCATCCTCTTCAAGATCCATTATTCATTCTGTTGGTGGTTGTGGTGGTGCTTGCTGGTGCGACCATGTTGGTGGCGGCAGCTGATATTGCCATCTTGTTGTTGGTGGCGGCTGCTGAAAATGCGAGTCTGCTGGAGGTGGCGGTGGTTGTTGATGCCAGTTTGGTGCGGTTTGCTGCTGTTGGGAATCTGATGGAGACTGTTGTTGGTGGAACCATGGTGGCGACTGTTGCTGCTGCTGGAATTGGAGGAACCATGGTGGTGGTTGCTGCTGCTGCTGCTGATATTGGAGGAACCATGGTGGCGGCTGTTGTTGGTACTGCTCAAGCATCTTCTCAAGTTTTTCCATTTTTTCCGCCATTTGTACACTTCTTTCTTCAGCAATTTCGACCCTTTTCCTAGAAGCCTCATCACATGATAAGGAGGCACGCTGACGCTTTGGAGCCACGAAACCATGTCCGAATCCACGGCAATATCCCTTCCTTATGCCTAGTTGGTTTTGTACTATCTCAACATCACTTATGGATGGACTCGTACCATCAGAATTTTGAGAATTTTGTGCAGCCTTTTCTTTCATTGCATCCTGCAAAATATTTAAGTTCGCTATCAAATTAAAAGAATATGGCATAGGAATAAATCATGTGCAAGCTAGAATACTATCAAATTAAAAGATATGGCATAGAGGAAATGATGCTGACATGTAATAATAACTCTGACAAAGAGAAGATTCTATCCAATTATAAAAAAATAAGAAAATTATTTTACTTGCAATTTGCTGCTTTCAAAGACATATACATAGAACATTTCTTATATAATTTGCAATCCTAAAGTCGGTGTGTAAATATTAACAGTTACACAAATGTAATCTGTTAGCGAATAAAAAGTAAGCCGAAATGATGTGTTAAAGGAAAGAAAAGTGGGAAATGGATAAAGTGGGACACCAATCTCAACCAAACAACAGATGAATGAACAAGGCAGAGCAAACCCGAAACTTTGAGAGCTGTGATTGGAAGGATAAGTGTCAAACTCAGACCAATCTAGTGATTGATTCCATAGCAAAATATTTCAGCAGAAGAAGATAGCAAAGACACTTATACTCAACAATTTAAGAATTTAACCAATAAACAAAAGTCCCAATCTTACATGGGTGCGATCCAAATAAAATAGGTAGAAGAGACAACAATTTCTTCACACACTTGTTTTAATGAGATGACAAGAGACTCTGCATGACAAATCAGGACTTGCTTGATCTGATCACGTAACCAAATCTGTTGAGATTCAACTCGAAAGATCTAGAATTACAATACCCAAAAATTGGATACTTTATGCTCCTCATTGCTAGGTACTGTCAATTAATGAATATACATAGTATTACCTCTGCAGAAAAAATGAAGAAAGGATACATACATATATATATATAGAGAGAGAGAGAGAGCGAGAGAGAGCAGGGCATATACGATCTTTATGTAATATATGAATCCCATAAAATGAATTTTAAACCCATCAAATAACCAAATGTATAATGTGTATCCAAAATCTATCCAGTATATTGAAACTCAGACTGACATCACATGTGCAACTTGCTAGAGTTTCTGGATCACAACTGAATTGGCCAACCCCGCCTGCTCTATTGTCTGTTCCAGATCAGTGAGTTGTTTGGATCACAACAAGGCACATGCAAAGGAGAGAATCATGCGCAAATGAACAATGAGATGTGACATAGCCAATGCTCTCCCATAAGAACCTCTAATGACAACAGACTCCAAGTTACAATAATCCTATTATGAAGTCCCAAGATATAATGATATTTAGATAGTTTGTTAATAAGAAGCAAATTTAACTTTCTGTTCTGCAAAATCTGAAAAAAAAAAAAAAAAAAAAAAAAAAAAAAAAAAAAAAGAAGAAAAAAAAAGTTACTATTTTGAGATGACCAAAATGGTGTGAGTCACAGTGGGACATGAGTTTCATGTCCACCACAAGCAGCCAGCTGCAGAAGTAGCCCAAATGACCTCTATGTAACTGGAAAAGTGATTCATATTCCCGAATTAAGTATCATATAGTTCCTTTTGCTAGGTGATTGAGGTGAGCTAGAAATAAAGTTTGTTGCAGGAGGATGTGATGATCAAAATTAAAGGGCAATAATACGTTAGCCTATAAATGCATGTACTCCATGAAGGGGATCCAGAAATTTTGAATCCAGAAAATATACCTATAATATACCTATGTGCTGGATCAAAATCATTTATATGTTACCTTGAGGAGTAGGTAAGCTGCAAGACAACCCAAATCAGAATCGCTATATAAGATTGCAGACTTGATTTACCGATAGGCATATGAATTGTGCAAATTAAAATAAATATTAGTGGGTTAACCTTCCAATTCTAGAAATTTTCATTGGATGGTGAAAAGATTCTGAGAATATCATGAATAACTATGTGATAAAACTTATAATCTTGTCAAAGGGTTCAGACTTTGCATAATTTGTTCTACTATGAGACCCATCTGACGGAACTTATTTGTCACGTGATGACTACATGGTGACCATTCGCTGTGTGAGACCTACGGTAGTACAGCTAGTTAAGCAAGCCCTTAGTCACATTGGTAGATTATGCAAGAATTTGAACATTGTACTGATGTTAGCAAGTGCACAATGAGTACTCTCCAGCACTTCTTTCCCTTTTTTACCTTGGTGATATTATATGCTGGAATTAAGTGTAACCTAGCCCTTCATCATACTGGTAAAATATGTTTTAACTTTGTACTGATCCAAGCACACTTTTCATCATTTTTTTAAAATTTTGGTACCTTAGTAAATATTTTATCTGAACATTTAAGGGTTCAGAGAGACCTATATATTTGCACATCTCTGTTGAAAAACTTGTTAAGGAATCAAATAGAGATGGTGACAGTTGAATAGAATGTCTGTATTGATGCATAATCTACACTTTAAACGAAAACATTGCTTATGCAAAATAGTTTCTTCATTTATGGATTTGTTCTTTTATACTGAGGTTAAGGTTCTGAATTCTGATAATCATGGAAGTCCATACTTTGGCTTATATTTTCACTTCTTCATATGAATACGAAGTACATGACTTAAATATTCAACTAAAATATCCTCACTGCGTGGTAAACTGTGTTCCTAGCTTTGTTTATTATTTATGTATTTTTTTGAATGATGCTGCGAGATCCAGAGTCATGACAGGAAATCATTTAGCATTAATTTGTACAAGACATGACACGCCTAGAAAGAGTTTATGCATCCAGATGCTGGGGAGCTATATGTAAGAATTGTAAATGTTTAATATATCATCACACACAAGTAAACTGAGCCTATGCCTATCAGTAAATCAAGTCTGCAATTTTTTTCCTCCTATTAAATGGTAAATTAATTTATAAAAAAGAGAGAATGTACAAGAGGGGAAAATTAACTCTAAACAACTAGCTATAAGTTGGGCAAGGGCAAGGGCAAGGGCAAGGGCAAAGCCAAAAATAAAGGCTACAAAACACTATAACTCAAGCCATCCAGAGGAAAATTAAACATTGCTTGTTGAAAATGAAATGGATGATAGAGGAAGACTAAGAACCGAAATACTCAGTTATTTGTGCGACTCTAGACCAAATCTTCCTATGACCAATTCTTGTTTCAATACTAGTTGCACCTATAGGCTATGACACATTATATACACACATAACATATATGTTACAAGACCCATTTTATTTATTTGCTTTTTAGATCCAAATAATGCAAGACATAGTAAATGGTCACTTAAAAGCATGTGACCCCCTATAAACCACAAAAAAATGGTCACTTAAAGGCATGTGACCCCCTATAAACCACAAAAAATGGTCACTTATAGGCATGTGACCCCCTATAAACCGCAAAAATATTATGAGATCCAAATTTCATAATCCAACATGCTAGCTTATAGTTAACTTACAAAATTCCTCTTAGCTTTCTCGTGTGCCCATCCACCTTGTTCCTTAAAATGTGTATCCTTGTACAAACGAATAGCAGGATCCTCTTCCCTTTCACCGTCCTCATCTTCTTAGCTCTGCCTTTCTTTGACTTTGACCTATAGTACAAAGTAATAGTGACTATTAGACAAATATATGGTTTAGAACGTAGAATATAAAATAAAAAATTTTTAATTATTGTTTCGTATATTACGCACATAATCATCGTAACGTCGGACGAAGGACATTGATCCAGAATAATGTGGAACCTCATTCTTGGAACGATTTTCTTTGTTTTTTGCACTTATTTCCTAAGTAGTAATTCAAACAATATTACAAGTTAGGAAACCTAAATAACTAGTGAATGAAGTTATTATATTAAATAGTAAAAACAAGTAGTTAAGAAATTAAACCTGAAATTTAGGTGACATCCACGTATCACACAATTTTTCCCAAACAGCATTACCAATACCATTGTAATATGGCGGTATGCATTCTCAATCGGAAGATGCTCTTCAAAATGACACTTCAATTTATATCTATATTTCCTCAACGTGCTGGAAATTCCCATATTTACTCGCTTAAAATCAGTGTCATTTGCATATGCATCCACTCCAAAGACCTCCTTTATAATGTAAAATTAAGGTAAGCTATAATTTGTAACCAATTGGACCAGTAACCTCATTTTTTTTTTTAACAAAACAAACATTAAATGATGCTTATCATTACCTTCAAATGGTCATAGCAGACCTCTTTCTCAAAATCTGGAACATCCCTCCATGTTTTATACTTTAGAAGGGCTTCAGTATCTCGTGTATTAATGCCAACCTCAGCCGTCCATAATTTGTTATTTAAACCAACAGGTTTAATATAACCCTCTCCAAACTCTATTGGAACCGGCCAATTGTTTTCATTAATTTTGTGCAAGGCTTCATTTTTTGCTCTTCCACGCCCTTTTCGTATCGGACCTGAAAAATAAATTTATCATCTTAATTAAAGCATAGGCATTTTACAAAAGAACTTATGGTTAATCAATGATGAAGCATAATTACCTCCACTTGGTTGTAGCCCTATCTGCTCATTACTACCATCACCTTCCATTCTTTCATTTGTTGAATATCTATCTTCATCTGATCCACTTGGTTGTGTAGTAGGTGAACTTGTAGATGGTCGCTCAGTTTCAGCCCTGCGGGACCTTAAAACTCTACGCATTGGTTCCTCGGAGGTGTCCATAATTTAGTTTACAAGCTGATATGAAGAATCAAGTGAAATTAAATCAAAATAAACAAGCATATGCAAAATATATTCTGAGTCATCATTTCATATTTACATAATTCTATTGAATAAAAAATTCAATAATTAGAGGCAATATAACTGAATAGATCGCATTAAATACAATCATAAACCCAAAAAAAAAAAGTAAATGCTCAAATATAACAATTAATTTAGTCAACCAAATCAAAGCTGCAAATTAATGAAGCATAGAACCAATACTTAAAGAGAAATTTAAACAAAAAGTAACTCAAAAGATAAAGCTTGGTAATATAGTTCAGCTGGTCACTTAAAGTATTAATCATAAAATGATAAAATGAGGTACATGCTTAAGAATACAAAGCTTCACATGTCATCCAAATCAATATCCTCTTCAAACATTAATTCTGGTTCCTCATCTGAACTATATTGAATGTCATTTCCATCATCATTCTCAACATCCCAAAAGTCATCATTAATGGCTGCTTCACCCCTACATTTTCGAATCATTTCAGCATCAAGAGTTTCACCCTCCAAATCGACCCTATTCAAAGGGAATGGATCCATGTCCAACTCCGCTTCAACAACTCCATCCACGATGCTTGGTTCGCTCTCTAGGTATGCTGCAGTGTTGAGCATTTCATCATGTACTCCTGTTTCACCCTCTTTTTCAGGTACATCAAACGAGCTTCTACTTGTTATATCTTGAACTACCTCCCACGTCCCTTGTAATTTGTTGTCTTTGACATAGAAGCATTGCGATGCTTGATTTGCTAACACAAACGGCTGATTTTTGTACGCTCTACTGGCTACATTTACACTTGTGAAATAGGTATCTTTATGTACACCGGTACCAATCCTGACATCGAACCAATGACATTTGAAAAGAAAAATTTTTCTACCCAGAGGATATCTTAACTCAATGATATCTGTTAGGACACCATAGTAATCTTGGTCTTCTCCTTTCACTAACACGCCGCTATTCTGTGTTCGTCTATTTTGCTCCCTTTCCTTAGTATGGAACCTAATCCCATTTACAATACACGCAGAATATCGACTTACTAGACATTGAGGTCCATACGCTAATGAATATAGATCATCACAAGTTGTTTCCTTTTGATGATGACGCATTTCCTTTATCTATTAAAAGAAGTGTAGTGTTAAATAAATGAATGACAGTTCATTTTAATTAAATTAAAGAATTTTATTTAATTAAGTATAATAGGTGCATAATGGACTTACTTTTGTTTCGAACCACCTCGAATATTCTTTAGCATGTTTTTGAGGAACATTGCGCAAATTTTCTCTCTCAAGTTCTACCTTGTGTTTTCTAAACAATTACATTATGTTAAAGATACAATTGTATACATGTATTAAGATATAGACTATATATTCATAGAAACTGACAAGATATGACATGCAATGAGCTACTTACTCTTCATATGACAAAACATCTTCATAATTCTGTAAAACGTACAATCGGGCCATATCTATGTCTGCACAGGGCAATATGTCCAAACTTTGTGCTCCTATCGGTCGAACCACTTGCTTTAGATCATAAAATGTGGACCAATTATTGTTGTAGTTCCCCTCACTATTTCTTTCTTCTCTATTGAACCTTGTCTCAATCCCTCCAAGAAATTTTGAACAAAATGTGAGGCACTCATCGTCCACGTAAGCTTCCGCAATGGACCCTTCCGGACGTGCTTTGTTACGGACATACAATTTGAGAGTATGCAAAAATCTACATAACCGTTAATCAAACCAATAATATTTAATAACAAACTGATAAAACTTATTAAAAAAAAATGTTGGTTTACTAAAAATATACAGCACCTTTCAATCGGGTACATCCATCGATATTGTGCAGGGCCTCCGATGATGGCTTCACATGGCAAATGCAGAGCCAAGTGCACCATAATGTCAAAAAATGACGGAGGAAATATCATCTCTAACTTACTTAGTATAACAGCAATGTCCCTTTCCATTGCCTCTAAGACATCCACTTTAACAGTTCTACAACACAATTCCTTGAAGAATAAACCAAGCTCAGCTATTGTGTTACAAATATCTAAATTTAAGAATCCTCGTATAGCAATAGGGAGGAGACGTTGTAAGAGAACGTATGAGTCATGACTTTTCAATCCAGATATCTTACAATTATTAACATTCACACACCGACTTATGTTCGATGCATAGCCATCTGGAAACTTAACTGATTTTAGCCATTCACATAGTTGTCTTTTATTATTCTTTGACAATGTGTAGCGCGCTTGTGGCATCTCAAATTTTTCACCATTACGCCTCAGGTGGAGTTCTTTTCTAATCCCCATTGCTTCTAAATCCAACCGACTTTTGAATGTGTCCTTAGTTTTCCCTTCGATGTCCAATAATGTCCCCAACACACTATCGCATATATTTTTCTCGATATGCATAACATCCAGGTTGTGCCACAACAAAATGGTCTGCCAATAAGGTAGTTCAAAGAAAATACTCTTCTTCGTCCAGTTAAGTTCAAATTCCTCACGAGTTCGCTTCTTTTTATTTGTCCCCTTTCCGAAACTAACCTCGGGTATGAGGTTAAGTTGTTCAAGAATATCATCACCCGTTAACTGCTTTGGTGGCCCTTTGTCTTCACTTTTGCCATTAAATTGCTTGTGATGGTTTCTAAAAATGTGATCTAACGATAAAAACATACGACTTTCCAAGTAGCATATCTTACATCCGTGTTTCAAAAAACAAGAACATGTTTCTTTGTTATAATTCGGACATGCTAGATAACCCTTTGTCATCCATCCAGATACCATCGCATAGGCGGGAAAATCACTAATGGTCCAAATCATTGCCGCATGCATTTTGAAGTTACATTTACTGTAGGCGTCATACGTCATCACACCATCCCGCCACAATTCTTTTAACTCTTCAACCAAAGGTTGCATGTACACATCAATATCATTACCAGGCGATGTTGGACCAGGAATAAGCAACGACATAAATATATATGGCTCCTTCATACATATCCAAGGTGGCAAATTGTAAGGCACAATCATCACAGGCCACATACTATACGCATTGCTCATGTTACCAAATGGATTGAATCCATCAGTTGCTAATCCAACACGAACATTACGAGGATCAGCAGCAAACCAATTATGCTTACTATCAAAATCCTCCCAAGCTTTTGAATCAGCTGGATGTCTTAACTCATTTGTCTCCTTCACACATTTCTCCTTATGCCACCGCATTTCTAAGGCTGTATCCTTTGACATAAACAACCGTTGAAGTCTTGATTTCAAAGGGAAGTGCCGAAGAACCTTTTGAGGGATTTTCTTACCCTTACCTTCGTGAGGTTTATACCTCGATTCACCACATTGTGGACAATTTTCTTTACTTGCGTTTTCCCTCCAAAATAGAACACAATCATGTTTACATGCATGTATACAATCATATCCGAGACCCAAGTCTCATAACAAGCTTTTAGTCTCGTAATGAGACTTTGGTAACACATTATTATCGGGAAGCATATCCTTAAATGCATCAAGCATCATGTCAAATGATTTGTTGCTCATTCGGCTTCTAACCTTCACATGGAACAACTTTAATATCGCTGACAACTTAGAGTATTTTTCACAACCTGGCCACAATTCACATTGTGCATCATTTAACAATCTATCAAAGCTTCCTCCTCCAACATCAACTTCAGGCGAATCTTCTTGTTGTTGTGCATTAGTGAAGTTTCCCATTTGTATGTTATCCAACAATTTAAACACATTATCTACATTTCCATCTTCATCGTGGACATTTTCCCTACTGACATTAGCATCAATATTAACATTATTGTTGCTTTGACGAGCCTCCCCGTGATATATCTAATTGGTATACCCCTTGTCCATCCCATTACTCAAGAGATGCTGCTTAACTTCTTTAATTTGACGATAAGTCCTATTTTTGCAACGACGACATGGACATCGGGGACCTGCCATCTACTTCTGCATGACGCCTAGCCACATCAGTGAAGTCATGTATGCCATCAAAATACTTTACACTACCCCTAGTGTGATGATGAATCCAAGACTTATCCATGTCACTGCTTAAATGTACACACAAAAAAAGAAAAAAGAAAAAAAAGAACATATATCCATCAAGAGTTAATAAGGGATATATATATATATATATATATATATATATATATATATATATATATATATAAGTGTGTGGAGCCCATCATGGAAGGAACAATGAATGAGTGTAAGAACCGTCTTATCATTTCTTTAAAAAAGAACCAAAAAAAAAAAGAAAGTGAAGTACAATTAAAGAAAATTAAAAGACATAGTAATTAAGAAATGGTGTCAATTAAATGTTTTTTTAAATGTTGAATGACTGTGAAGGCATGCAGCAGAAATTGAATAATGATAAGAATAGGATGTTCCGCTAGAAGGAGACGAAGACTTGGTGTATTGATTGATTCAATTATGGGTGGGCAACAAACAATGTGCATAAAATTATGAGGCCAACCTGTAATCAAGTTTATGGATACTATATTAATTTGACTGGACCAACAATACTTGATAAAAACAATTATTATAATAAAAAAATTTGCATTGTTAATAAAGGATCTATATATAAATTATATTGTATTGGTTGGTAGTTAAAAAAAGAAAAAAAAAATTAATAATAATAATGGGCTGGTAGTTAAAGAAAACTGAAATGAGA